TTATTTAGCCCTTTTACAGCTATGTCCGCAACCAACAATCTGTGATCAGAGTCTAGTGTTTCTCCAGGAAACGCTTTAACATTTAATATTTCTCGCTTGTCTGAGCAAATAAAATAATCAATGATTGACATCTGGTCAAACTTAGCGGAGTTTTGATTCCATCTATATCTTGTATACCTATGTGAACTTTGGTGTTGGAAGAAACCGTTCATAATCTTTAAATTGTTCATAATACAGAAGTCAATTAGTCTTTCTCCCTCAGGATTTCTATGTTCTTCACCGAAAGGACCCATTACCTTTTCAGTTCCCACTCTGTCGCTTCCAATTCTGCCATTAAAATCTTCCATCATCAGCCCTATCTCGGAGTCTTGTATATGATAACAATCCTCTAGTAACCTATAAAAGCTTTCCTTCTCTTCAGTTGTATGTCCTTGCTGAGGTGCATACACTTGATATATGTGGTACTTTTTATTTTGTATGTTCAGAATACATTTCATTAGTCTTTCACTGATTAAGCTCACCTCTTGGATATGTGGTGAGAGTCTGGGTCCTACAATCATGGCTACACCATAATTTCTCCTCCCTACATCTGTCCCGCTGTACATTAGTACAAAACCTCCGCCGAGGTCTATGCTCTTTTCTTTACCGCGATGCCTTGTTTCCGCGATTCCTATTATGTCAATTTTTCTTCTTTCCATCAGATCAAGTATCTCGTTTTCTTTGTTTTTGTAAGTAGCAATATTAATTGTCCCACATCTAAAAGTTATATCTTTATTTCCGTTATCCTTATTTCGTTTCCATTTTCGTTTCTGTGGTCGTCTTCGTTTGGTCCTTCCGTCTCTCGAGGCTAGTTCATGAGATTTACAAGCAATGGTTATCCACTTCTGGCTTGCTAAGCCTATCGAAGCTTCTGGTGCGGTTGTGATGGCCTCTTTTTGCACATCCAAACAGCAATCCATCACAACAAGGGGTCGCGTAACTTTGTCGAAGTGCACCAGCTTAAACCAACTTTGTGCCTGCTTGGGCTTGAGGAGGCAAGCCTGTAACCTTTTTTAAGGGAGCAATAGACACAAAGTTGGCACTAATTAACGGCCCTGAAAACAAGAAGCTATGTTTCAATCAATTAATTAAACAATCAGGTC